TTGTTGTTGTTGTTGTTGTTGTTGTTGTTGTTGTTGTTGTTGTTGTTGTTGTTTTGACATGTTTATATACTTACATACGTATATATATATATATACACATACATACATACTATACACATATTCTATTTTTGGGGGGTCTTATTAGGGCTCAAACACCAAGGGTGTGACCGGAAACCTAGTTTAGGGTTTCATGAGAGACTTTGTTGCACTCTCACTCCCATCGTTGGATCTGGAGCCGTGGTTTGAGCAATGTGTTTGGTGGTTTGCTTTGACATTCACACGTATAAGGACATTTGTGCATGTCTAGTAGTGGTGTATACACTTTGTTTGAGCAGGTGCATCGCTATCCGTTTGGTGGCGGTGACCCCTGTCAGCTTCTGACGCAGTGGAGTGGTATTTACAGTAGACGAATGTGGATGTGGGAAAATGCGAGCAATGCGTTAGCTCACCAATTGAGGTCCACATGAATTGATGGAGACAGCGGGCTGAACTCTCAGCTCAGCGACAGCTGACACTATCTTCCTTGAAACTTTTGTCGAAGAGCAGTGGAGTCAAAGACATCCCAAAGATTCCAGAGAGCTTGTAACAATTTGCTTGGCAGGTTGCAATAGCCAGTCTTGCAGCGGACATGATTGTGTCTTCTCAGGCAGATAGAAATTACATGTTTGCTCGCAAAGGTTTACCAGCCTTGTGCTGTGCGAACAATGGTTGTCTCATGCTTCGCTTGGTCTATGTTCAGACTGAACATGACCGAACTGACTTGCTCAGACTGGACCGCGTGGGGGTACTGCTCCAAAACTTGCGGAGTTGGTCAGCAGACACGGAGCGCAGACCTTAGCAGCCTTAGCAGGTGCTGGAACATGATCAACTTTCCAGAGAGGATAATGTGCTGCGCGAGATTCGGCCTTTTTGTGCCACGGGACATGTTCACGTTGTGGGCTGTTATTGCTATGGTGAGGCCATCCATGTATACAGTATATATACATATATACAGTATATATCAATACATAATGTTATGTCATGTTATGTATCCACTTAAACATATACATGTATTAGTTTTTGCTTGGGTTGAACGCCACGTGTCATGGACTTTGGTTCTTCTGAGTTTGAGGTCGCACAATTATCTATGAACGTGGAATTGACGGGCACGGCTGTTATGACAGTTTGGGGGGAAGTCAAGGTGGGGTTGGCTGCGATTCCTTGCTGAGCATGGCGCAGTTTGCAAAACGACGTGAGTCATTGAGAGTTACTATATAGAGACGGCCATTTCACGAAGTGGCCAAACTGGTACTCACATAGTGGTCGAGTCTGTAGCTCTTGTGATCATCTTTAAAGCACATTTCGATACTTCCAATGATTTGCAAACAGTGTTTGGGGTGCCAATGTGGTTGGTGGCGCAGGAATGCATGAATGCAGAAGAGTGCACAGCCAGAGATTGTGTGGCTTGGATATGACGCTATGACAAGAGCACCTGTTTGGCATTCAGTTGATGATATTTTCATGCCAATGCATCCAAAGCTAGAATTTGCACATCTGTAAGTTCAGGGCCAGCACCCAAGGGACACACACTTAAGATTTTGCGTACTGATTTGGTTGCGGTTTGCCACACGCCAGCCGAAGTGAAAAACCTAAGAGGCCAGGTAAGTGAAATACGGTAAAAGTTCCAAGGTGAATCGCCGATGCACTAGCCCTTTACTGCAGCAAGACGGAGTGCAGAAACAACGTATTGGACAGCTTTGCTTTTGCCAGACTTAGGTTTTCAAAAGCAGGTACACCAGGTTGATCAGACCTGGCTTCCACTATCACGCATGGCTTCGTTGGCATGCGTTCGCGTGATAGCCGCATGCCCCCTGCTTAAAAAGGACTCAAGCCTAACAATCCAACAGGAACCTTGTGACTCCAAAGGTTACACACACACACGCCTCCCCGAGGGGGGGCAAAAAGAATCAAGGCGAGGACGGTTGCGGAAATGTGCGCGCAACAAAGACAAAGGGATGAAGACATGAGAAGGAGGACGAGACGGGACAAAGCCAAGTGCACAGGGACAACCGATGAACCCCGCCTCATTGTCAAGACCTGGGCGACCTGAGACCTGTGTTTAAAGTGTATGTAGAAGTGCGCGTACACACTAAGGCTAGGACCGCTGTGCGCGCAAACGAAAGAAAGGATGAGGTGACAGAACATGAAGACAGGAGGACACGAAAGAAAAGAGGAAAACAAAGGTGTGCGAAGGGGAAAGGATGAAAAGGGAAACCAAATCGAGGGGACAAAAACCAATGAACCCGAACCTCATTAGAAAACCTCGTTGAAAATGTACGTGCTGTGTGTGCACCTGAGGTGGCGACAGGTTCCAATGAACCTTGAAATTGCCTTGACCGCTCTGGTCACCTTGTGCCGTGCCAAAATGGCTGGCTGCTTTGGCCGCTGTGGTCACCTAAAGGCGTGTGCCAAAATGGCTGCCAGGTTGGAATGCAATAATCATCAGCTCTTGGCAAATAGCTTTGGCATAAGCCTCCTGCTGTCCGCTCGGAGTACATCTCCGGGCAGGGGGGATAAAGACAAACCCCCGTTCAACGGGTCCACAGGGGCCAGTCTTCGGGGTCACCCTGGGCTGGCATGAAGCCAGACACACTTAAGATTTTGCGTACTGATTTGGTTGCGGATTGCCACACGCCAGCCTAAGTGAAAAAACCTAAGAGGCCAGGTAAGTGAAATGCGGTAAGTGAAAAACGGTAAACCCAAGAACCTCAAACGACACCAAAAACAAGGTCATGTCCCAAGCTCACAAAAGTTCCAAGGTGAATCGCCGATGCACTAGCCCTTTACTGCAGCAAGTCAGAATGCAGAAACAACGTATTGGACAGCTTTTGCCATATTTAGGTTTGCAAAAGCAGGTACACCAGGTTGATCAGACCTGGCTTCCATTATCACGCATAGCTTCGTTGGCATGCGTTCGCGTGATAGACGCATGCCCTGCTTAAGAAGGATTCAAGCCTAACAATCCAACAGGAACCTTGTGACTCCAAAGGTTACACACACACATACATCAATCGGTGCAAGAACTAAATGAATTCCTGCAGCCTCTGGAACCTGCCACAGTACTAATACTATCTAATACTATACAATACTGTGTTCACCATCCTTTTGGGTGATTGGACTGTGGTGCCAGTGGTGCCAGTCTCAATCAGGGATGCTGGGAGGCTGAACTCTTATGTTTTTTGGGCATTCATAGCTTGCCATTGGCAGATTTGGCAGACTTCTTTATTTACGAAAGGATTTGTGGGTCATACTTCGCGCCAAGGTCTGGGGTTCTTGGTCTGAATGGAGCTATTGCTCTCGCTCTTGTGCAACTAGCTTAGCGGGGGCAGCAGGAGAGCTGTGTAAGTGGCTGAAGTGGAGTGCCTTGGGTCTTACTCATTGAAACTCTGAGGCGGGTGGGATGCGGACTCGCACTCGCCATATCCAGACAGTGCAGAGCTTAACCCAATTTACCGCTTGCGCTTGGGTGCTGAATTATGATAACGATTAAATCTATTTAGTATTTGACAACCAGACTTGCAGCCTCCTTGTTGACTTCTCGATTCTCAGTATGCCCCCAGGTGCCAAACAAGCATGGCAGGCTAACTCTTTCAGCAGTTTGCAGCAGAGTTTTTTTGTTCGATTTGTCAAGACTGATATGGCTGGACAGGCAATGTGACGCCGAGATTAAGGAAGCAGTGGAACCCTGCAACACTCAAAAGTGCCTTGGACATGCTCAGGGCAAGTGGTAGAGTTTATCTCTGTTTGAGTCAGGATGTTTTCCAAAGGGCATCGCGAAGTAGATAGCTAGCCAAGGCTGTGACCAATTGTTGGTATGGTGCAAAGATTGTCCAACATGATATTTCATTTGCATTACATGAGATGGACAGGCGCAGCGAACATCTATGGAATCAGAGCGGGCAGGATTCTGTCCCACAACAACAATTACAGCACAGTTCATCCCCAGGAGAATCTCAAGCATGCATTCGGTTCAAGTCAAAGGTGGCTAACTTGATGCCCCGAGATCTCAAATCTTTTGCTGTCATGGGCAACCTGGTTCCCATAGCCCTACTGGCATCTTCTCCCGTGAACTGTAACTACTTGGCAGAGTGCAAAAAACAACCGAAAATAAAACTATAATATAATATATTATATTATATTATACTACAGTATATTATATTATATTATATTATATTACTGTATAATATACTAAACAAATAAATAAATATATATAATGGCGGCAGCTTGTTGCTTTGTCATCCGCTGGTGAAGGTGTTCGGAGTCCGACTGCACTGATGGTGCATGGGGCCAATGGTCTGCACGCATCTGAGAAGCGGAGAGCTTGACGAAGCATTGGATGCGGATTCCTTTGTTTGCCCAAGGGATTGCAGCAATGTTTCACGATGTTTCATGTTTGGGAAAGCCCCAGTCCTGAGAGGCACTCGGACACAAGAAAACAAGTCATTCAAAGCAATTACAGCACCAGTACCAGTACTCGTAGCTAGTATTGATTTATATCAAGGGTTCCTTCATTTTTCTAGCGGCCGCAATAATGCTACAGTAGGACAAATATCAAGCAAAAACATACAAGAATCAAACAGAATCAACCATCATACCTTAGGGGGATACCAAAAATACCATTGACGGAGTGTGCCATGCACCGCTTGTGCACAGGTGTATGGAGCAGATTGAACTCCCAGATTCCATCAGATTCCCATTCGGGCATTGTTCTTCTTCCCGATGAAAGTTGGCCAATTTGTCCCGCTCCATTTCACCACATGTCCATTTCTGACCTAGGCTTTTGTCGCTTTCATTTTCCTCTCTTTGCATCAACGCAATCCAGAGAAATCAACATGCGCTGCAGACTCAACTCCAATCTAGGGCCTTCCGAGCCCTATTGAGCATGCAAGAATTCAACATCGTTCAACTATCAACATTGCGCTTGAGCAAATCACTGCGAAACAGTAGCTGGCACACGAACCGTTGCTCAAAATAGTGGGAAAGATGCACTATACCGACTATACCCTTCTGTGCTCCGGTGGCTAAGGCTTTCCCAGCATTTGATTCTCCTTTTGGGATTCCTGGGCACCTGTAAAAACTGAAGAAGTTGTCGGCTTTACACTTGTCTGGAAATAAACTACGTATGCTGCTGTATGCTTGCTTTGGTAATTGAAATATATATCCTGGTTCCCAAATCTGGAATATCAAGGAAGCAATCGGCCAAGCAAATTGGCAACGGATTCCCTGACTGGATGACCCCCGTCTTGGACGTCACTGTCCCAAAGGCCTAACGTAGCGTAATGCTGTTGCAGAACGGCCTAGCGCGGCCTTTCCATCCCGACCCTTCGCGGCCATTCGCTTATGGTCCATTTGGCATCCGCACACCTGCCACGTTTGTATTTATAAACTCAGCTTCGAACCGCACACACCACACCGGCTTGAAGAGAGACCTGAGGTTTGGTTGGACACAAAGTGTACCTAGAATTGAACAACTCTTCAGAAACAGCTCAGCATGAGCTCTTTAGTGGTCATTGGTGACTTGAGAACAGCTCTAGACTCCAAGCCGTTGGTGATGTTGGTCTATTCATTTGAATAGTAGATCAAGATTATGCGTTCCACATCTGGATTTTGTAATTCAATCTCATTGACGTTCAAACTTCCAATTTAAGGGTCATTTTTTGTAAGTGTATAGTATGCTGCAAGTGCAGGAAGATGAAATCAAACCAGTACTAGACACTCGAGTTTTTGACCTTAAATGCTGCAGACACACTGGGAAGCACACTCTTAGGATTGAGGTCGTGCGAAGGCCACCTGGGCCAGAGGTCTAGAAGAAGCCTGAGTAATCAAAGGCCTAAATAGCTTCATGTGCAAGTACAAGTGCAGCGGTGTAAAACCAAGAACACCAAGAGCATGGGAAAACAAAGGTGAACTAAACAAATCTCGGCTTCAACATGGTTTTCGCCGTTTTCGTCGGTTTTCGCGTTTTCGCCGGTGCTCCCGACAGCAGTGTTTTGATTGCATCCTTTTCTTGGCTATAGCCAGCCACATTCATGAAAAACACAGCTCCATTGAATTTTGTGAGCATACCCGTATGAGCTTGACATCAATAGTCAAGAATACCGGTACTGGTTGAGAGCTTCCCTGTAAAATGTCTTGCCACAACGGAATTCAAGCAACTGAGTCGGAAACAATGCTCGAGGAAGGCTTTGCGGGCAGGGGTTTGGTGGTAAGCAGGGCCAATTTCTCACCTGCAGGGACAGCAGAAGTTTTGTTTTTTGATTCAAATTGAACGCAACCGTTGTTTTTTGGCAAGTTTATGCTGTTGTACCAGCAGTCGTCCTTTAGACCGCCCAGCTTATATATATATATATACTAGGCTGAAATGACAAAGGACTTGTGAAAACTACCTCCAAATTGCGGCGGCTAAGTCATGAAGGTTTAGCCTACCCCCCACAAGTATTTATGTCATGAAGCAAAAGCTTGGAAAAACCTCAAAATCAGAGATGCCAGAGGTTGTCACCAAAGATCCTAAAAACAGTTGATTTTATATTGACAAGCATCATGACATACGACTTTGGTATCTAAACAATGAATAAACCATCGAGATATAGGAATTTGAGAGCAAAAACGCACAAAGGCAGACTTAATGAGATAGTCATGTGTTCGTCATCTCACCCTAATCTTCCAGGAGCATGCCCCCCACCAACCCCCCCCCCCCG